CATCATAGACTTTTTCTTTGGATTGCAAAACGTCCTGTCATAATGATGGAAAGAAATATATTTATCAGCTAAATGATAGAGGTTCATTGTTCAACACCGCGTAAGACAAAGGATTTTGGCCGCCCACGGTCTCAGCTTATCGTGACATGCTTTGCTGTATCTAAAAAGAAAAAACTTAGAAGATATTGAGGGCAGCCATGGACAAGATACGGACCCCCTTCCAACTTTAGTAATGATAATATGTGAGGAAGTTGATTTGTCATGCAGCACTCAACCAGCTGGGCCTGTCACAATCGACTGCTCTTCCACAACCAAGGGGGGGGGCAAAACAAAGGATTTCATGCCTGTCCCCATCTATGATTGCCATATCTGGATTGCAGAATACTAAGTTTCCCAAAATCTTGATAAGAACATGCACCACCATACAGTCAAGATGGGACATCACAAGTAAAGTTTATCATTAAAACCCACAGTGACTCCCTTTGAACCACTTCAAGAGAAGTTTGACTTGGAAAATGAAGAGAGGAAACTTTTGATGGCGAGTGGGAAGATCTTTTTAATCCTGTCACACTTGTGTGTAGATAAAAGCCTAATGCTTAGACAAGAAAAGCTCATGTTTGTAAGTTTGTATGTAAAACTGTGTCATCACTTGTTTAGAAGTGTCCCACAATCTGTTAGACATCAGGTTTTCTCTCTTAAAAATTCACCACAGCCTGTAAACACCTTGTCAAGCATGGAAATGCCTGAACTGTGCATACACAGTGTGTATGTTGTGATATATAACATTCATAATGTTAAGTTTGTGCAGCTTATTGTGACTGTAGAGCAAAGCTTTTCTATCTACCACATATTTTCTAACAAGAACTAATATCGTCTGGTCTTAGTGACACACCATTCCGAGTCCATAACAAGAGCTGAATGAATAATTTGTCACATACGTCTTCTCAGATTCCTCTATGTGCCCTGATGTTAGCGGGACAGACAGATAGGGGTTGATGCTATCTACCCACAAATGTTTCTCACCTATTGTCAGATGGTAGAAGGGAAAGCAGAGCCAGCGACGACAGCTTCCTCCTTTCTGGCTGAGTGATGTTGTCCATGCGGTCGACCCACATCTCTATCACAGCGCCCAGCAACTGGCCCATCTGATGAGAACAGACAGGAGATGGATACAAGGGAGGACACAGACTGTTCTGACAACTCAAGAGACAGCAAACAGATGGATGTTTCTTTTAATGTTTAAAATGTGGTTTTAAAATGTCAGCAAAACTGTGTCATTTACCTCCCCTACCTCGTCCTCTATCATCAAAACACTTTGGCCCAACAGAGACACAACTCGGAGCGACAACTCTCTGACTTTCTCAATTATTTAGATTGAACAAGGCGAAATTAATTTTGCTCTGGGTCCGCCCCAAAAAAGAACCAACAGTTTCACCGTGACGAGAAGCAACTCTACACTTAAGGGCTTGGAAACATCGCCATTTGCAATTCCTCATTACTTTCAGGCTCATTACTTTCAGCCTTGTTCAGAATGAGTCCCTTTTAACACAGCACAGCAGTTATGGCTCGCAGAGACATCCAAAAAAGAGTGTGCTGAGAAGACAAAATATGAAGGGCAGACGTGGAGCCTCACCTCCTGGCTGCACTCTGAGGCAATTTGAGTGAGCAATGAGGAGAAGAAACTGGAGTTCTGGAGCAGGACACGGCCCATGATGCCAAGGTAGGTGGACATCACCACGGGATATCTCTGCAAAACACACACACACACACACACACACACACACACACACACACACACACACACAATACACATTCATATGCAGAAACATACTCATGTGCAAATGCTCTTACATAAAGCATAGGTCAATAAGCATGATGAGGCAGAAAAGATAGGTCCACTTACACAGCAGTATTCTGGAAAGGCAAACTATGCCCTTTATCTGCATTGATCAGTAAGTGCCACTATATACTGTCTCCATAAATATTTATAGAAAATGAAAGACATGGACAGAGGACATGAAGGAACATATGGGGACAGTCACATTTTAAGGAATTATTTCAATATTTCAATATTTGGTAAAAGATCATGTAAAATAAATAAAAATGGTTAAAACAACATACATATCTTTATTTGCTTCTTCATTTTATATAATGCCATTTAACATGATCTGTGCACTGTGTAGAGGTGAGACTAACCTCGCCGTCAACGATTCCTCTGAAGACAGCTGGCAGCAGGGGCTGGAACATGTGGGCTCCCAGTATGGGGCTAACCTTTAAAGCTATCTCCACCACCTGCAGAGAAACAAAGAGAGGGAGGAAAAGGGACACTGCTCAAGAGAGAGAAGTATGGAAAAGTAGTAGAAGGGAAAAAAAAACCAAGAAGAACCTGCAGGGAAAACCCAAGAGGGAGCCAGAGAGGGAGAGAAAAAAGAAACGAGTGTGCAAAAAACATAGGATGATGTAAAGGTGGAGCAAAGCGTGGGAGGCAGAAAGTTGTTAGTCGGAGCTACTTTTTAGAGAGAAAATTGAGAGTGTGTAGAAAATTGCGAGAGTGACCTCAATTGGCCCACAAGGTTTGTCCTTTTATATACCAAAGAAATTTGAATGAGCTCTCTCAAGAATTCAAGCTAGAATGAAAATACTTGACTTGAAAAAATCAACAGCTTAAAACCTGGGTCAGACAATAAAGACATAGTATGAATGAAGAGTAACAGATGAAGTGTGTGAGAGAAGTGCTGTGTTGACATGTACCCAGCTGTGCATGTCAACACAGCTGGAATGAAAGGATGTTTCCATCCTCATTGGATGTCTATTATTATACTACAACATGAGTCCAGACCACTTCAACGAGAAAACATTACACTGGACAACATTACATAATGTCACCCTGTGAATTACTTTTACGCAAACTTCAAATTAAAATATTTAACCCAAGCAACCTGTTCAGTGTGTCAACACGCTATGATCTGTTGTGTGTTCACGTTGTGTGGGCTGACAGGTTTGCTGTTGCTGGCTCTCGTCTCCTCGCCTCAGAACAAAGGATTAGCAGGAGCCACATGTGCAGTCATGCCACTGAGCTTTACTAAGCTAAAGCTCTATGTTCTTGTGGCTAATCTACATGCTTAAAAAGTCATTGGTTAAGTCAACATATGCTGAGGCATGTATGAAACCTGACATCCAGCACAAAGTTGGTTAATTATCTACACTGTGGTGGCCACCATTTTCTAATTTGTCACACCCCATTTTAGGGGGCACATAATATTCTGTCTATTCAGAAGCAGCACTGTCGGTGTCTGTAGTGCACCTATGACATTGTATGCTACTTTCATTGCACCTGCCCCTCACAGGCAAGACGAACAAACACTATGAAGCTTGAGAAAGGAGACAGACAATAACAAAGTAATATAGTTCTGTGTGTGTGTGTGTGTGTTTACCTTGAGCACTTGGACCTGTCCCTCATTCGTGATGTCTTTCAGCAGATCACAGAAGGATCGACACAGTGATTCTGCATAGTTCTGGAAATGCACAAATTCACACATATGTATAACCTGAACATGCTTTGGTTTCATTTTCTCTTCATAGTGTTTCACTTGACATACAGCGCATTGGAGAGTCTCACCTGCAGGAACTCTGTGGCAGACAGGTATAAGTAGGCGTTTACGATCTGAAAGCAGGTGCGCAGGTTCTCGGAGCTCAACTCTGAAAAAGAGCATCAGATGCTACACGTTACCAAACTGGACCAAAGGGGTTAACCGATCGACACAGGAAGGCAGTACAATGGGAGGATCTAGGCACATGATGAATGATCCAGGTGGACAGGATTGTTGAGTTGTCTAACACATTGGGAATGAACTGCACACCTGATGGATGGTCTTACAAGCTTTGTTCCTTCAGAGCAATCAATTTAGGCACATGACGTGTTTTACGCTGGGAAATGTTCAGTGTTAACAAAGTTTAAGTTTGTCAAAGCTTTAATAAAAAAAACACACTAGAATTTTAATGAGGAGTATTTTTTATCAGGCAGTATTTCCAACGAACTTTATTATTTATGTGGAACACACCTTGAAAGCGAGGCAACTCAAACCAATTAAATAATTCAATGACTCAATAATTCTTTCAATATTTATTCAAGCATCTTTACACTTTGTATCATTGCACTATTTCTCCATTTCACAGCCGTTGTGTTTTTATGTTCATATATACTTTTGTATATATATTTATATTTGTACATAGTCGTTAAATGTTAATGCTTAACCTTGTTCTGCTTTGTGGTCCTGTTTCTTTGTTTGTCTATTTCTGTACGTTGAGAGCAATGGAAAAACTGGAGTCAAATTCCTTGTATGTGTACGTATATATGGCCAATAAAGCTGATTCTGAAACAATGACAAAATCAAAATCAAGTAACAAAGTGTGGGGCTCGCTGGCTATTGATGACCAAGCTGTCTCTTTACTCATAAACAGGTGCTTCTGATGTTTTAAGGAAAATGTGACCCACAAACAAAGGAACAAAACTTAAGAATTATGACGACTTTCACAAAAATAAGAAAAAAAACCCTGGCTAGTTCAACTTTTAATCACAGTCTATATTATAATGCAGAAAAAGGTTGAGAGGATCTATTAACAAGAACTGCATCTAAATAATTAAGCATAGTGCTGCACATCATTAAACCTGCATTAAATATGTTCTACTTCGTCTCTGCAGTGTTTCCGACCTTTGCTGTCTAAGTCCATGATTTTTATAGTAGTTTTTTCACCAGCAGAAGCAAAGAGGTTACAACAGTCAAAATGTTATAAAAGAACCATAACCTGAGGTTAACAGAAACAATAGAGACAAAACCAAGAATGGCTGCTTTAAAAAAAGAGAAAAAAAGGCCAGAACATTTGATCAAAATAAAAGGTGAGAACAAGCTCAGCAATTATAACCTAAAAAAAAAGTAATGTGAAAAAGTTGACCATGAGGCAGTTTGAACAGATATGATAACAGATTAAAAAAAGAAAAATGCCCTCAAAGATAACAGAACAAATATATAGCATTTTGGACAATTTGCACTTTTTGCAGACAATTATACACCAGAGGCGAGAGCGCAAAGAATTTACTTTTGGCCAGGAGGTAGGTGTACAGCTGAAGTGCAAAGCATATCTGGGGAGGCAGTAGCTCAGTCCATATAGCGACTTGGCTTGGGAACTGGAAGATGGAGAGGTGCCAGTTCACCTCCTGGGCACTGCCGAGGTGCCATTGAGCAAGGCACCAAACCCTCCAATTGCTCCCCGGGCGCCTTCATGGCTGCCCACTGTTCCGTGTGTGCTCCGTTCACCTCCAATGGGTTAAATACAGAGGTCAAATTTCCCCATGTTTGCATGTTGCATTCTGTGTGTGGGACCATAAAGAGGAATCTTAATATCTATTACCATTATAGTCACTGCTGGGTTGAGGCTTATATTGTATAATATATAAGAGATAAGTACCTGTTATTGTGAAGTCATGTGAGGTTAATAATTTATAGTTTTCTTGGAAACGTTTTAGAGGACCATGATTTTCCCTTTGCCCCAAAACGACCTGATACTAAGTTATTGGCATGAAGCCGCGAGATGTTCACTAAATGTCTGCGCTTTAACACAGCCTCAAACCTCCAGGACATATATGGCCTGCGAGAGAATTTAGTCTTCCCACAAGACAATTCATGAATAATAATAATCCAGATCCTCTCTTAAATTTTATGGATTCTCCCTTGGCCCACGCCCAACACTTCTACTAAGTTTCAATAAAATCGGATCGGTAGTTTTTATGTCATCAGCAATGAAATGATGACCTCCTTGGCTCAAGTAATGACATAAAATAGTGGACTAACATGTCCTTCAGGTTGGCTCCTTCTGGCTGTGAGGTCAGGTTGGGGCTCAGAAAACATGGGTAGCTGTTTTGTGTCATCACTGACAAGCATCATGATGACTGTCAAGAAAAGTAAATGTAAGATGCTGTGCTCCCCGAGAGAAACAGACCACTGACAAAGAAAACTTCTGCATAGTTAGCTGGAAAGAGCTCACACTGATGAAAACGGTAATCTGTGTCACAACTAACTTTTAATGAGACCGTGATGACACAGAGACAATGTTATACAGGTGGTGAGCAAGCTAATAGAAAAGACACTAAAATCTTATTCAGGAGAATCCATGAAGGAGCCTTTTTGCGGCCACAGAGCTTCTCTCAAATAAAACTGCTCCAGAGAGTCGGTTTGTCTCCAAGAACCATCACAGAGCAGATTACTGATATGTTCAATATATTAATAAAACACAGGACACGACAAAAAATCTCAAGGTTTTCTCTCTGGTCTGTGATGAAAAAAAAAAAACCACATAAGAAATAAACAAATATTCTGTGAAAAATATTGCCACTCAGAAAATATAATTTGATTTTGTCATGTTCATGTACACAGAATGTACAACATATGTACATGGTCTTAGTATAGATTTTAACGAACTGTGGAGAACAGGAAAAACATGACAAAGTGTAGATGATGAGAATAAGGAAAAGTGAAGGAGCAGTGAGAGGTGACCCAAATAAAATGGAAGGGAAAGATTTAAGCATTAAATGAATAATACCTTATCTTAAACCAGGACTAGCACATACACAGTACGATATAAAGCTGGCAGAGTAACAGACCTTAACAAATTGAAAACCCTTTCGGGAAACATATGACAGACACGAACGCACAGATGAGTGTGAGAGGTGAGGAAGAAAAGAGAAGGCACTAACAGGAAATAGTTCCTCAGCAAGACGGACAGAGACAAAGTCACACCTGCATGCAGACTCTCCGACGGGGAAGCTCACACCAAAGCCGGGAGTAATTGTTCGCTTCACACAAGTTGACAGGGCAGCTAACTCTAACAAGTAGGACAATAGTCATATCCCTGAATGAACAAAGCGAACGACGGACCAAGATATAAAATATATATTTGCTTAAAAGATTATTTTTAAAGGCTTAAGTTTATACAATTTGATTTACACCACAAATGAGGGTGCATTAGTTATTTTTGTTAGTATTGTCTTTGGGCTGCTGCTCAATAATAATAGGTTGTTTCCTACAGGACACAACTGTGGTCTTATGTTCTGGCCAAATCAGTCGAAGTTGTCATTATGTCTATGGTCTCCCACATTCTTAAAGAGTTGAAAATCCTCTCGTGTGCATCAGGCATTGGTCTTAGAAGTAACAGATGAGTTTCAATCTGACCATGCAGGTGTATACAGGTGACATTAACGTTGATGTTTGCAATATGTGTTGTCTTGCCATCTGCCAGTCACAGTAGGGTAGTCAAGATAATGCATGCTGCCATCTGTTACCAGAGCAGGTACACAGGGGCCTATTTAGTCAGCACATCTACAAACATAGCATGGAGCAACATTACAGGAAACACATGCAGCGTGCAGGGAAGTGAGCACAGATCAAGAGAGAACTCGACTAGCAATCAGAAGAGCTCATACCTCCACCAACAGTCCCCTTATATTCAATCAAGCTGCACTAAATTGTGCACACACACACACATACATATGATCTACAGAGTAATCTGTCCAGCGCTTTTTGCATATTGCTGATAACTAACGGACAAACAAACACAGATGAAAACATAACTTCCTTGGCAGAGGTAATGAATAAAAGATGTTACAGTGACAGGAGCTGCAGGAGAGAGTGTAATGGCTAAACCTAGTCTACTTGTCGGACGCCCTGGATATTCTCGTTGTCCCAGAGGGCATATGTGGATCTGCTGTGGCATCCATTTCAAAGAGATGTGAAGCCAAGAAAAAGGAGGAGAAGGAAATTCTTCAGCTCTGTGCCTCTTGGAAACCTCAGGTTACGGCTCAACCGCCTCCCAGACAGACCTTCACTCCGGTGGCCTGCAGGTCATCCAACCTGATTTCTACTCATGTAAATAAAACCTACAGGTAGCCAGTGTGACTCAGATGTGTGGTGCTCTACTCTACTGCGGCCTAAGGAAATGTATTTCATCACATCTGAGCATGACAATATGATTACACTTAAAACTACTTCATCTTTGATCTGCAAGTGAAGTTACACTCGCTCTATTTGTTTTATTATGAAGGCAAAACCTGAGGTAAACACATATCAACAAGCTTTCTGATCTGTCCCTCCATACTGTCACCACCACAACCACTCTCAATACTTGCCTTACTGATAAGCTGTGCACACACGCTGGCAATATCCTCTGAAGGAGAGTTTTGTATGAATATCAATACAAGAGGAGGGCGAGGTACAAGCATTTATATGAGTGGAGGAAAAAATGAATTGAATTCTCATTCTGGGCTGGAGGTAGGTCAGGCAGCTCAGAGCACTGAGCCTCGGACTTCATAAGACTTTCATTATCTCCCCTCCTTCACTATTGCGACTGAACCCGAGGCACCTCAAGTGTCTATGTATGAATACAAACAGCCTGACAAAATAACACTGCATCTGGTTATTGCAAGTAGATTCACTTCCATTTCCACACAGCATCCCCATGCCTTTTTTCAGCGTGATACTAATACAACAGGAACAATATGGTGGGTTTACTGAGACAACTTAACTTCTGCATTTTTCATTCTTTTAACTGTCTGAGAAATATTCATCTTAGAGATTTTCACCTGGGCTCTAAGTTGTTTGTGGTATTATCATATCCTCATACATAATAATGTAATTAAAGAAAGTATT